CATCATTCTTAAAACATTTGCTTTCTAAGTGAGCCCTTGGTATCAGCTCCTCATTTTCCCCCTCCCTCCCTGCTCTCCCCTCCCTCATGAACTCTTGATAATTTATAAATTATTATTTTGTCATATCTTACACAAATTTATAAAAAAAATAACTTTATCCTTATTCTTGCTACCTCAATAATGAGGTCTAATTTGCACTGCATAAGTCTTTACCCAACAGAGTACTGTGCATACTATAACTTGGACGCTCTTCTTGGCACAGTGTATTCTAAGACAAATTCTATCTATCAAGCGAATACCAAATACCTTTGAATGGCCCTACTTATCTACTGTAAAGCTCTGGGAATATTAAATGTTCATGAAATGTTTTCAACAAAGCAAATTTACTATCAAGTCAGTTCTGACTCACAGAAACCCCATAGGACAGGATAGAACTGACCCTGTCAGTTTCTGAAACTATAATGCTTTATGGTAGTAGAAAACTTTACTTTTTCCCACAGAATGCCTGGTGGTTTCGAACAAGCAGCCCAATTCATAACCACTAAGCCACCAGGACTAATATGAACCAAACAGTAGTGGAAAATGTAATTTTCTACAAGAAAACCCACACCTTTGAATGGCCCTACTTATCTACTGTAAAGCTCTGGGAATATTAAATGTTCATGAAATGTTTTCAACATTCCTATAACATTGAAGCATAAATGTCTACAACATTGAAAATTCAAAATATTTTTTTCATTAAAAACAAAACAAACACTGGGTCTGAGCCCTTTATTAACTTATAGGTCTTTGACCTTTTACTTTCTTCTATGGTTGCCTATTTTGCTTTTGACCTCATCTTTAATCAAGCTAAATAATCTGTATTCATTTAAAAGAAGGTCCTTTTCATGTAGACTTTCAAAAGTATGTGAATAAAACTATACACAGAAAACTAGACATTATACATAGATTAGTTAGCCTTTTCTATTTTAAAGATTCTATGTGTCTTTTTACTTTGGATTCCAAGCTCAATGCTACTATGCCAAAGCCAACTCATAGTGACTGTATAGTGGATGGTAGAACAGCCTCTTTGAGTTTCTGAGTCAGTATATGATTAAAGGAATAGAAAGCCCTGACTTTCTCCTGAAGAGCCACTAGTGGTTTCGAACTGCCTACCTTACAGATGCCCAACATGTAACCACTATACCACCAGGCCTCCTCTTACTTTGGATTAGGAAAATAAAAAATTTGTCATCTCACTGTCAACTAATATTAAAACTTATGTTTATAATTTTTGCCTCAATAATATATAGTCTTATTTTTATTTTTCTGGGTTTTCTTCCTTTCTAATTTTAAAAGGTATATTTTTTCTTCCATTTGCTTTCGGGCTTTCATATTTTCTAAGAAATTAACTGAAGACTATATTAACATCAGGATGGAAATACATTCACTTCTCACTTATCAACATGTTTAGTTTCCAAAGACCATGTCACTATGTGAAAATCAGCATTTATGATGGAATTGTAATGTGACATTGAAGTATGAATCCACATCAGATTACAAATGAAGGATTACTGCCAATTGAGCTTATAACTGCCAAATTATATCATTACATAATTGCTAAATCACTGAAAATCATGTGTGTGTTAGGCCAGGTTAACTAGAGAAACAAATCCAGAGACCCTCATATGTTTGTGTGTGTGTGAGAGAGAGATTTATATCAAAGAGCAATTGCATATTGAGAAAACATCCCAGCTCAGTCCACACCAAATTCTTAAGTCCAATATTAGCCCATATGTCCAATACTAGTCCATAAATTCCTCTTCAGACTCACGCAGCACATACAATGATGCAGAATGCTACGAGATCACAGGCTATTAGGTGAAAAGTCTTGTGGATCCAGTGGCAGTACAAACATCTCAGCACTGGCATGGGTTTTCACATGGCTCCTCCAGGTCTCCAAGTGTGGCTCTTCAACAGCAAGGTGAAGCAGACAAAGGGGCTGTTCAATGGTCTCAGGA